ATAGACATACATACACATACATACATATATATATATGCATAGACATACATATATATGCATAAACATATATATATATATATATATATGTGTGTGTGTGTATATGTAGTGAGAGAGGAAATGGAATGCATCATTGATTGTAGGAACATTTTGGGTACATGAAATCATAGAAGATCCATGCAAGTAACTGTCACGAAGAAACTAGCACCACTTGTTTTTTCCGCTTGTAAATGGGTTACACTTCGGTGGTTTGTAGGCATTTACATTTTTATTCATTCATCCATATCTTTATATACTTTATTACATTATTATAATATAAATAATATGATAATTTGTATTCGACAGTAAAATCAAACAACATGTGTTTGAAGTTTATCGGTACCAGTACCTCCAAGAAGATTCACTTGTTGCGGAAACTCGTGTGCGCTCTGACGGCCAAGCAATTGGAAAAAATAGAGGACGTAAGAGAGATAAAGATGAAGAAAAAAAAACATTATGATGATCAAATCGATAAAGATTTGAAGGAAAAATATGTTCGGGGTAGACTTCAATAATACAGGAAAAGGAAGGGTCCTACGTTGATGGAAGAAAAGAAAATCGACCGCTTTACAAGTACAAATCCATTCATTGTGAAACGAACAGTAACGAATGTGTTAAATAAACATATATTTAGTGTTTGTTTTAAGCTTATTGTTATATTTTTAATCTATTTTAATTTGATTAAAAAAGACCCGCATTTAGGGTTATTGCATCATCATTTGTTGGTGATGTCATAATTAGGAAAAAACCTCACTCGTATTTTATTAAAATGAAAAGAAAAAGAAAAAAATAAAAAAAATATTAACATAAATTTGGGCCACGGCCCTTCAAAACTAAAACAAGTACATACGACTCCCATTTAATAAATAAAAATAAAATAGAAATCCAACCACTAAAAAAGTAGTGGGAAAAAGGTAAAAAAGCTGACTTGGGTGTTTGAAATGTAAATTATGAAAAAGACTTGATTTGACTCATATGGGTCTTTCTCTCTCTATCCTTGTCCCCCCGTCCCCATCCCATCCCACCGCCTAAACTCACTGAGTTCACCCCGGGGTTGACTCGTTCATGTCTCCATACCCCCTGGTTTCCAAGCCGAGGTGGCAATCAGTGGCCGTGTGTGCCACCCCAGCATCAAGCACCCGTCGTTTTCTTCCACTCTGTACCCATCGCCGCCGGCGAACAACGCCAACAGCATGCTTGCTTGTTTAAAAGCATTGGACCCCAGGTGAACCGGATCGAACCCGGCTGAGTTCATCCGAGTCCGCCACTGACTCAGTGTCTCATGGCGTTCCACTCGGTCCGTACCTTCGCACGCCACCACGTTACATATCTGCCGCCCTAAATACACCTCCGACATCACCAAATCCTGGCTGGTGGGTTGAGTCAACGCCGAGCTCTCCAGCGAGTCGAACATGGTGGAGTAGTAATGTAAAGCCTCGTTGAACCTGTCTAAGAAAACGGCGCCGTTATGGTTAGATTCTTGTTCCACCAGCGTCACTATCTTGGGTTTCATGGCATTGATCGAATTCAGCACCTTCTCCACGGCGCCCGGACGAGCCAAGAGGCGGTGGAGCTCGAAAACGGAGTTCACCGCAACCACTTCCACCTCGCTCGGTCGGATATCAAGCATTGCGGCGTCGATGTCGGCTAACGAATTCGCAACAAACCCACGAAATTCGAATTCGACACCGATCGTATCGGCTAATTGGGCTAATTTCCATCCTACTTGCTGTAAAGCATCGGTGTTGTCCGGTTGCGGTGGCCCAATTCCTGTTAGACGGAAAGCCGGTGGACCGTCGGTACGCAATGCCAACGCCTGCATAAGAGCAGGCCACTGCATCCCTTGATTCAAGCTGAAATCGATGACATGAACGCGGGTTGCTCCGGCAAATGCTTCGAGGATGGCTTGATTCGCGGTGAAGTGTGCGAATTTGAGGTAAGGGCAGCTTTCATAGAAATGCATCTGTAGAATTTCCCAACAGGAAGTTTCAAGGCCATCTTGGGGGTAGATCTTATAGATTCTCTGAGCCAGAGCTCCGGCGAAATAAGTGGCGACTTTCCCCATCGCGCCGGCCTGCGATGCCGCGAGGAGACCCACGTGTTTGACGAGAGCGTCGGCTAGTTTCATGTTGTCCTGCTGCACCGCCTCTGCGCAGGCCATCAAGGTGTGGACCAATCTAATACCAGCCTCCTGAGAATCGACGAGCACCACCGGCCGCGGCGATTCTGGCGGCGCAGCAACAGCTTCAGATCCAGCTACGGCAGATTTGATCCGCTTAATTCCGTTTCTAGGCACCGGAGACTCGTCGGTGGTGGTTCCGTAAATAGCCCCACCGGCAATCGCACGCAAATCATACGGATCATCGTCATACAATTTACTCCCCTGTTGTTGGCCATCAATTTCTTTGTTGTTGGAGAAATCAATCATGGTGGTGGAGGAGGATTCGCCGGGAAGAACGATATCGAAATTGGTGGAAGGTGAAAGATCAGAAGCGTTATTGTTGAGCTCGGAAAGCATACTCTGGACCCAGCCGGAAAGATCAGAAGGGTTGTAATGAACAGTATCAGAGAGTTGAAAAATCCCATCTTCACCCATCACCATTTCAAGCTGCTCAAGCTTCTGCGCTACATCCGCCATGTCCGTGGACCTAACCTTGTATCCCAAAACCTCCAAGAGCTCGTCCATTCCTCCTGAATCGGGCAAGGGCTGATGCAAATCTTTACCCTTCCCTGACGCCAATGAAGACGAGGAGATGGAAGCCTTTGCTTCTTTCTTACGCTCTCGATCCCTCTTCATGTTTGAATCTAGAAAAAGTAAATGAATTGGTTGATGAAACTTGGATGAAATCAAGTGGAGGATGGATGAATAATATTGAGCATAGGAGGGGGAGGGGGAGGAGTAATAGTTGAATCTTCTTTTGCTTTGGAAAGCAAGAGGCAAGTGCTCGTGACGGGTGGGGGCTCGAGCTTCGATGGAGGAACACAGGATGAACTGGAGAAGGAGATAAGGAAGAGAAAGCAATATATTTTTTCTTTTTTCTTTTTCTTTYTCTAAAATTACAACAAATAAAACATAACCATCTATTATTATAACTATTCTATTAATAGTAACTTATTTAATTATTCATTTATTTTCTAATATAATCTTCGTTTATAGAGCTTATATCAAGCCAACACAAAATACAAAAGGTTCCTTTATTGATATATATATATATATATATATATATATTCGATTTTTGATGCATAAATTGTTCAAAAAATACTAAATAATTTATTATCTTAATTGAAATCATAGTGATTAAGCAGTTTATTTGTGCGGACATAGAAGGTATTGTGTTTTACCGATCAAGATTGTAAATGACGTGAGTCGTGTGACATAATGATGAGGTCAAGACTTAAATCTTACAGGTTATAGTGAGATCACGATGTTTTTCAAGTTGTGCCCATAAGACGACATATACATATATGTGTACACACATCTACATTTATGTATATTAGTGTTTTGAATAATATGTACAAAAAGTATGAACCTTTGATACCAAATATATAGAACTTATAAAAAATAATATCAAGAGTATGAAATCGGGACTAAATCTCCTGAATATCTAAGCACTACTTTCAGATAATTAGTGTTCGACTCTTCGTATACGGGAATAAGAGTAAATATTTGTTATTAAAAATGTATATAAAAATTCAAGAAACATTTATGTAAGTTAAATAAAATTACTTACTTTATTTTTTAGATAATAAAATTATTCAATGATTTTTAATAAAGTATTTAATTAATTAT